TCTTGTTACTACTAGTAAGGCACTTGTTACTACTAGCGATGCACTTGTTACTACAAAATTTAGAGACGGTGGATTGAAGGACGGATCCAACGGGAGGAAACCACGGGCCCAAAGGGACGGACTCGAGAGCGCCACGGAGGGCACGGACGGAGGTTCGAACCCTTCGCGTCAAAAGGGAGGCCGAAAGAGGCCGAAAGCTAGTAGTAACAAGAAGCTACTAGGAACAAGTGCCACGCTAGTAGTAACAAGTGCCTTACTAGTAGTAACAAGAAGCTACTAGGAACAAAAGAAAAGAAAGTCCTGGGGGCGGAGGTAGGCCGCTAGGAGGTAGCTAGTAGTAGCTAGGTAGCTAGTACCTACAACTAAGCTACTAGTGACTGGACGCAGGATAGCTCACGCTCGCACTAATGATTTGGTTCCTAGAGTTTTAATAGTAGCTTAAGGAGCTTAAGTAGCTACTAACTGCACTCAGAAGCACTCGATGTTAGGAAAGCTTAAATTTCAGATTTTGTGGCAGAGCAACAAAACACACAGGTCCCTAGTCCTTGCTGTAAGTCCGTGGGCGCACTTTGCTTTTCTCCCGACTTTGGGGCCTGCCAAAGCTCGGCTAAGCAAACCAAACGTCACAGTGTGTGTGTGTGTGTCACACAGGTTGGAGGCCATCTCTTCTAGGTTGGAGGCCATCGCTCTTAAAGCCTTAGGTTCATTCCTTTCTTCTTGCTCCTAGTAGTAAGGTTAGGAGCCCCTAGTAGCGTCCTTGCTCCTAGAAGTAAGGTTAGGAGCCCCTAGTAGCGTCCTTGCTCCTAGTAGTAAGGTTAGGAGCCCCTAGTAGCGTCCTTGCTCCTAGTAGTAAGGTTAGGAGCCCCTAGTAGCGTCCTTCCTCCTAGTAGTAAGGCCAGGAGCCCCTAGTAGCTTCTTGCTCCTAGTAGTAAGGCCAGGAGCCCCTAGTAGCGTCCTTCCTCCTAGTAGTAAGGCCAGGAGCCCCTAGTAGCTTCTTGCTCCTAGTAGTAAGGCCAGGAGCCCCTAGTAGCGTCCTTGCTCCTAGTAGCGAGGCCAGGAGCCCCTAGTAGCATCCTTTTCTCTGAAGCTTATTTCTTCGCACATCTTCGCACCCTGCCTGGAGCAAGGTCGAGAAACTTGGCTTAGCAACGGTGAACTTTTGCTGCCCAAGCTCGCCGCAAGCCAGCTGACCCGTTTGCGGCAAATCCTCACTTCGTGCGACTCAAAGAAGATATGCAAAAAGGGAAGAAAAATGGCCTCCAACTACCTAATAGGAATGGCCTTCTCCCTCATAGCAATGGAAAGCATGTGTCTTCTAAAAAATGTCTTGTAAACAATGCTTTGGAGAGCGACCCTTCGCCGGCAACGCCACCAAACCAATAAGCACACGCAGCTTGCCAACAGCGCCAGCACCACCAGCAGAATCACTTGCAATGGGCCTTACATACAGTTTGCGCAATTCCGCAAAAGGGTGGTTTCGGTCCGACCAAAAATGGAGGAATTCAACCCGTCAAGTTTGTTCCTGTCAACCCAAGCGACCAACATGCAATCAAAATAAAGGCCGGGGCAGCTGAGCCCTTGTCCCAGCAAGCATTCGCTCATCGGACGCCCCAATCTTGAACTGAACTATAGTATAATAGTAATAGTATAACATCAGATGTCTTGTGTATTTTATCAGATATCGTATGTATCTTATCAAATTCTCTAGCTTTCTCAAGATTCCTGAGCTTTTTCACGAGGCCCCAGTCCGCCAATGCGCGACATCCTGTTAGTCCAAATTGCTACCTCTGATTTGAATCCGACCTACTGCCTTTGGAACAGCTGAAGCCTCAAATCCGCAGGGCTTGACTCTCACAGAAACTTCCCATGAGTCAAAGTCAAGCAGCTGCACCTATGGTGCACACCATTTGTTGGTAAACTAAATAAGTCTTGCCAGCAGATTCTCCTCTAGATTGGAGGCCATCGCTAGTAGGTTGGAGGCCATCGCTATTACAAACAAAGAAAAGAAAAGGAAGAAAGGTCTAAGAATTATAGTTTGCTACAAGTAACAAAGGGCATCGCTACTTACTACTAGGAGCAAGACAAGGACGCTACTAGGGGCTCCTGGCCTTACTACTAGGAGCAAGGACGCTACTAGGAGCAAAGGGCATCGCTACTAGGAGCATTTTTGTGCAATGCACGTTCCAACACAATTTGACCGAGGTTGGTCACACCGAGTTGAATCAATTTGGAGTTGCTCATATCCCAATGGCTCTCCATCTGCATTCAAATTCGAACAGGCTGCTATAAGCATAAAGCTGCCAATTAAGCTGATATGGACATCACCCAAGTTTAGAGTTTTGTATGCCAACTGATACCAAAGCAGCCAAACAATAAACCTGAACATAAACAATAGCTTGACGACACAAGCTTTGTCTCAAGAGGAGAGAACTTCACAAAAAAGGAAGCATAGCGTTGATTGTGAAAACAATGAAAAAGAAATGAAATGCTGGGTTCGAGCACTTTGCAGCTTTACAGTAATCCAAACCTGTTTTGAACAAGACCACAGTGTCCTGCAAAATGTTTCTGGGTGTTGAAAAAACCTGCAAAGCCAAGAGGCACTCTCTAGGAAAATGTATCGACTCTCCATTCCCATTCAATTGGAAGTCTTGGGATCAATAGTAATGGCCTCCAACCTAGAAGCGATGGCCTCCAACCTGTCAATGCACTTTCAAACGCCTCCTTTTCTTCCTTGGCTAGACTGCAAGGATTCACCAATGCCTGCGCTCCAACCCCTGGCAGTTCCCCCTCACACGTCTTCAAAACTTCTCCATGCTCTTCATCTCGGCCTTCAGCACCTGCAGGGTTCTTCGAAGGGAAGTGTCCTTTTGAATCTGCGTCAAGATCAGTAGTCCTTGCTCTCATTCTTACGATCTCTGTAGTAACCTAGCTTGGTCCCCTGCCTTAGCAAAAAGAAACAAAAGATGAGACCCTTCCACTTTGACACTGACCTTCAAGGCCTTCCTTCTATTCTCCTTGTCGTTCCTCAAAAGCGGGCTCTTCTGCTTGTGATGTTCCGTCTATTGTTTCTTATTGTATTGTTGAAATTGATGTCCGATAGACCTTTCTGTTGCTACTAGGAGCAAAGGGCATCGCTACTAGGAGCAAGGACGCTACTAGTAACAAGTGCATCGCTTCTAGTAACAAGTGCCTTACTAGTAGCACAATAAGCTACTAGGAACAAGTGCCACGCTACTAGTAACAAGTGCCTTACTAGTAGTAACAAGAACGCTACTAGGAGCAAATCACAAATCACTCCGCTGCTTGCCAAGCTTGCCACCAAAAGTGACTCACTCCAGACGGGTGCGGAAAAGTTACCCTGGCTGGGGCACAAGTACAGAACTCCGTTGAATTATTTTAGTTAAATACTGGAAAAGTAAAAAATTGAAATGAACAAATAGTATTTAATTGTTTAGATAAATTAAATCAAAGTAAATAGAGGCTAAAGGTCTAAAGAACAAAATAATGAAAATGGTGTGACACAGTGATGGTCCAAAAAAGAAAAGACAAAAGAAAAGGTCGAGGTCCAATGCAAAAAGAATGCCAGCTTGTACTGAAAACAAGACAACAGCGAACAAGACCAACTGAGCCAGGCTTGCAGCCGGGTACTGTCTCTTTTCTTCACCTGGAAGAAAGCATGCAGTGCTGAACGACCATGGCTTAGATTTGGACTCTGGGTCTTCAACATTCACTTCAACTGAAAATGTTTCCCAGCCATGTTTGGCGGAAGAAAATGTTTTTGCTACGTTTGCAATGGAAACCCCGCTCGTCCTCCAAAAGCTTGCCCTTCAAACCAAACGCACGTGCGACACTTGTTCCCAGCAACAAGACACTGCGGTACCTGGCGAACACAAAGACATTTACAGAAGCAACAAGAATACCTTCAAACCAAATCAAAGAAGCAGAAGAGCACATGCAGCTATGGGTTTCAGCATCTCTGACCGGTATATGGGATCCAAATTGTATCAACAGTCAATGCGAAACACGGTCATAAAAACAGTCAATTGGTTTTATTTGTTTGTTTTCTCTGTTTTGCCCGCTTCCCCCCCTCCCTACTTAATTAAATATACTTAATTCAGTGGGGGAGAGGTAGCTACTACCTGCAAGTAAGCTACTACCTAGGACGCAGGTTAGCTCGCGCTAATGATTTGGTTTCTAGATTTTTTGGGAAACTTAAGTAATATGTTCAGCGCATGCGTAAACAGCACTGAGTGACTTGTTTGCGCTTCACTTTGCTGTAAACAAGTTGTGAACACTCTACGAACTGAAACACTGTGCATGCAAGAACTGAAACCCATTCCAATCAGTTTACTTTGCAAAGCGGCACAATTTTTCACTTTGAAATGCAATTAAGCCTGAAATGGTGCGGACCTGAGTTCATTGCAATCTTATACTGAGCAGCTGACCAGTGCGCCTTTTTAGACATAGGCACAGCTCATGTCGCTTTGGGTTCGTTAGCTGCAAATTCAACTTCCAACCTCTGGTAGCCATTCATCCAAAACCACACCACACACAGGCACCCAACCAACCAGCAAACGAGGAAGGGAGTGCAGCAAAGGTGGAAACAGTGGGGGCTACAAATCGAGGTTTAGAAATCATTGACCCCCATCGTCGCAATACTAACAACCCCCATCGGCGCACGAGACGACACCTGCTCAGTCATGTGTGCTCCGTTTCGGAGCTGCTGGAATCACATGCCGTATTCAAAAACGCTGCCCTATCAAACTCGTCTTCGTCTGCATACGCAAGAACTGCAGATGAGCGCCATTCGCCAGCTTGCATCACCTGGAAAAGTGAATGGCCTTGTCGAGCTAAAGTGGCAGCCTTTCCAGCTCTCAAACACTTAAAAGAAAAAGCTTGGTAGTCAGGGACTTGTAAAAGTTTGAGCATGCTGCGAAACTTGGTAAGCGCCACAGAACTGGTGAAATTAAAAACCTTCTGACCCTCAGCCATGTTCACAACCCGTGTTTGCAGCCGATGGCCGACACACATGGCATTCCTTTGGCTTGGGGTACAAACACACGGGCGAATAAACAAAGAACCCTGTGGCCTATGCTTACGTTGTCGCAACCTCAAATACAAAGTCCCCTCTTGATCAATGAAAAGTGACGAATGCCTGTTAGGTGGCAAAACATGCACTGTTTCATAAGAACCATATTCAAGCGGAATAGCTTCGCTTTGAACCCGCAGGAGCGCTTGCCAGCCAAGGAGCAAGAGGTCACCTAACAGTAAGAACAAACTAATTCCATCAGCCAAGATCAAAAGACGTAAGAGCAACTCTTCAGACATTAACCTGCGGCGTGATAGTGCGCCAGCTCTGGCTGACTGGCACTGCTTGTTCAATCCCTGCAAGGTCATGCTCAGCTCACTGCCATGCCACGTCAGAGGCAACGCCAAATATAGGCAGGCCCACTTGACATGTCCGACATAATTTCGGGCAGTTCCAGGGTTGCGAAAAATTGAAACAAAAAGACACACGTCAGTCTCGCTTTTCGGTGGCAAAGAAGCATCTTCACTGTATCCCAGCAACGTGGTGGCAGAAACATGCCAGAGGCGTAGGCCAGATGCTACACTCCTCAAGGACCCTTTGCGAGTTTGAAGTTTGAGACTTGCGACACCAGCATGGAGGTGCTCACGCGCTTCTTCTTTGGACAACCGCGCCAGGCTCTTACACATCAGCAGAGGGCCTCCTTGAGACACTGGCACAGGCTCATCTATTTGAAGAGAGACCAAATTTTGAGCCACTACCTCCCCAGAAACTTGAGAGGGGGACTGACACTCCGCCTGCGTGGGCTGCTTGGCCACGTTGAGAGCTTCCACCGCTGACATCATCAGCGCCCGTAGCTTGGGGCTGGTTGAAAGTTTGCTCACGTCTTGTGAACGTTCTCCAACTAGGTGACTGGGGTCTTGAAAGCCATGAGCCACCAGTAACAATGCTGCCTCAAAGTGCCACGAGCAAACGGATGATGACCCTTCATGACGGTGAAAGAAATTTTGCATGTTCTCAACTGCAGCTTCAAAAGTTGCAGCTTTGAGACCAGCAAATGGGTGCACCACCTTGTCGTTGTTGTGAGCGCGCTTCTTGCTGAGGCTTTTCCAGGAAGCGAGCAAATTCTGCCGCTTGCTGTGCCATTGTTCAGACAAGGAGCCCCACACTCTGTCTGTGTTCAACACAAAGCCAGCACCACTAGCAGTCAGAATAGCCCCATCAACTTTTAAACGTTCAGCAGCTCGCAGTTTGGTCAGGAGAGTTGAGGAATCCTTTGCCAGCCATGCTTTGACCACACTGTGCGTCCATTCTTGCGCAGCCAAGAGGTCGCTACTAAGGTGAGACATCGAATAACTTGAACCAGATGGCACAGAGCATATAGGCACTGTTGGCGATTATCAGGAGGCACTCATTCGAGGGACTCACAGCAACCAACCGAAACAAAGCATGAAAACTCAAAAAGAAAATGTTTTCACACTGCTGGCCCTGACCAAAAGTCAGCAACCCACTCTGGAAGCAGCGGCGGAACCCACTGAGCCTTCAACAAGGCTAAAGTTGCAAGGTCATTTCGCGTTGGGCCATCTGCAATGTTAGCAGAGCTTTCCACCCGCCCAACGTGCAATGCCACTCCAGATTTAGCCAATTCAAGCCACAGCCGACCCACACACATATGTGACTCAGGTCCACCGCCTCCGCCTGTGAGCAAAGCATGTAGTACCGTATTGTTGTCAACAAAAGCAAGCCACGCAGCTCCCTTAAGGAGAGGACAAAATGTTCCCCAAGCAAGAAGAAGCCCAAGCACCTCCTGAAATTGTATTTGGTGGTCACCTCTGTCAAGCAACAACTTCCACAACTGCGCAGGAGTTTGCATTCGTGTGAACAAGAATTGCTGGTTGTGCCAAATCACTGCCGCAACCCATTTTGATTCGCCTGCAGCGTCTGACCAAGTGACTACTTGCGTTCTTGCTGCGTCTGGGCATGTCCGGATTGATGTCGGACAACACTCCAAGTATTGCATGAACCACTGGCCGGCCCGGCGGAGCCATGGAGATAGTGAGCTCTGTGGCAATGGTTCGTGAGCCTGAGCATAAAAAGGCTTGATGTAGGCACGGCCAGCTCTATTCCCTGATACAGTGACCGAAAAACTCAATCTGCCTGCCATCTTAGAAGCATCTCCTGCAGTAAGCACGTTGCTGTCAAGCATCTGCTGCAAAACAGCTTGGTATTTTTTTGCTTTGTCAGGATTTACACGTGTAAAGACCTTCTGCTCAGCCCAGGAAACACTCACTAGGGCGCCAAGCACCACCAGGTTCCAGGTTGCATCGTCATCTTTGGCATGATCTGTTGGGAAGCCAAGCAGCCGGGACATGATTGTCAGCACCTTGGCCGCCGAGAATACTACTCCTGTTTTGGAGGCACCAAAATAATCATCCACATAGCGGCAAGCAGGGGCTTTGAAGAGGCGCACCAAAATCAGCCACATCATGTGACCTACACGGTGCCATGCATACACGGCTGACACCGTACCAAATGGCATCCCAAAATGCTGTGAGATCCATAATTGTCCATGAGACTTCCACACCGTCCATGCAAACTCATGGTGCTCAGCCGCCACAGGAACTCTTCGAAAAGCCTTTGAAATATCTCTTTTCCACATTTCTGCTGTCGTACCATGCATCATGAACTTCTGCAGAATGGAGACCAGCGAGTCTATTGAGTCGTGGTGGATTTTGTCGACCGGCGCGGTCGCTGTATTAACACCACTCTCAGTTTCATGGTCAACAATGCGGGTGCGCCATCCCGTCGATCTTTCTTCCCGCACTGGTATACGCCTGGTCAAGGACTTGTTGGCCAAGTCACCCGGCACCAGTAATCGCGGTGAGGACATGAAGCCACTTTCTGAATCTTCCAAAGTTTGCTCCAAAATATCACAACTGTGCGGCAATTCAACTAGAGACTGAAGAACCCGGTCATTGAAAACTTCACGGCCCGTCCTCAACTCCTCCACAGAAAGTAAAGGTATGGAGCAGGAAGCTGTAGCATACCCTTCACAGGGTGGAAGGCAGCCCACTAACGGAAAACCTTGCTGCAAAGCTGGTAAAAATAAAGACCCATCAACGTGAAGCTCATGACACAACAACTGCCACAAAGGACCATGAATCCGGGCCACCAGCTGCTGCAAGTTTGCGGGAGCTTGCGTGGCCCAGGTGTGCTGCACGGGCTCCAATTCTGCTGCAATGATCAAAAAGCGCTGCAGGAGATTCTGCCTAAATGCATCAATCTCACTACTCGACAGGGAAAGCTCGAAGGTGATGGCTTCCTCAAGGTCAGGCTCCATCACAATTGCTTCACATGCTGGATGCTGCACTTTGATGGCAAAATAGACATGCTGCACAGGTGTCAAGCCTTCAATGGCCCCAGCCCCCCATGGCACAAAGCGCGGACCAGACTGTGCAGTTTGCACCATTGCACGCTCCACTTGTTGCAACAAGTGCGGCAGGTCTGAGTGATGCACCGCCATGGGAACGGGCGATGAGGTATGAAGAGCAAGCTCCCTGGCAGCCAAGGCCTTCTTGAGAAGGTGCGCAAACCTACAGCCCAGCAAAGGCGGATAGGTCTGAGCCAGCCTTGTGCGAAAAACACGCCGACCCTCCCATTCCACAACTCCACGAAGTGGAATTGTTGGGCTAGGCCATTCATACACAGTTTGGTCCAACATGTGCAAAGTGGGCAGGTTGTGCAAAAACAATGTGGGCTTCGAAAAAGGGACCCCAAAATCAGAATAGAAAATCTTCACCAATTCCACTCCCTTGAGAGCACGGAGTTTCACAAACGGATCCAACAGCCAAAGCCAGGATAGTTCAGGGTTTTCGACCGAGAAATAGCAATCCTGCTGCCACAGCAAAATGCACATATCAGCAGTAAATTCAAGGAGAGAATTTCCAGTTGCCACAAGCTCAGCTTGGTGTCCGAGCAAATTGGACCGTCCAAAAGGAAACTCCGTGCTTCTCAACTGTGGTGCGCGAGCCCAAGTCAGTGATTGACATGGCACTGCAAAGTGGGCAGCAGCAATTTTTCCCTGCGACGCTAGGAGAAGAAGGATGTGACCATATGAACGCACATCGTGCTTAGGGCCAAACTTGAGATCCCACGGCTGTAGCGTGGGCACATCACAGGCCATTGCTGCTAAGGTGAAAACGGCTTCTCCACAAAAAACTTCAACAAACCAAGAGCTTGTTGATTCATCTAATGAACCAGCCAGCCAAGAGCACGCAGGAGGCAGTTGGAGAGCACCAGACAATGATTGCAGCCCCAGCGCACACCCCTCAGTGTCACCAGGAACGACATCACTTTGTGGTCAGCGTTGTTTACGTTTGTCCTGCTGCTGCTGCCGCCTTTGATTCTGCTTGGAGAACCAATTTTGGGTCTTTAGCTGGCGCTTGCTTACGCCGCCATCCTGGCTCGCTGCCGCAGAAGATTTTGCCAAGAGCTGAGCCTGAACCTCACTCAACTTCTTACTGGCAGCATCAGCTCGCTTCTGAGCTTGCTCAGCAGCCGCAAGTTGCCGTGCCACATCCGCACTGGAAGAGGTTGTGGATGATGTTGCGGCGGATGGCATTTGTTGCGAAACATCGTCTTGTATGCCCACCTCTTGCAAAACTTGGCTCAACCTTTGTCTTGCCAATTCGAGGATGTCCTTGTCAATTTTCTGCGACTCCATGGCAATGTCCAGGGATGGATCACGTTTGTCTGCCCCACGGGCCCACTGACGGCGCAGCAGATCATCATAGAGAAAAGCCAGATAAGGAGCACGACCTTTGATCTTCTCTTGCTCGCATATTTGGAGGTTCACATCCAGGTGACCAAACACAACTGGCCAAGTCATCTGTCCAGTTGCCACCGCCGCAGTTGCATACCTGACAAATGCAGCGACCCACTGCTGGGCATTGCGAAAGAATCTGGGGGTTGCAGTGGCCCCTTTGAGGGCCTTTGACAAATCACTCAACGAGATGGCCTACAAGCTTGGACTCTTCTTCATCTCGCAAAGTGAACTTACCACCAACAGAGTCTGCTGGCAACCACAATGGAAGAACCTCTTTGCTGGTCAGATCCACATAAGTGAAGGGCGCGCGGCTCTGAGCCTTTGCTTCCTCTGAGGCTACCTGCAAAGTGGTGTACAAGGACTGATCCGCCTGCGCGCATGAAAGCCAAGTTTGCTAAGACCACACTGCTGCAGTAGGTCCGCTACATCCGGCACTTTGGATGGAGCCAAAGCGGACGCCAGCAACTTTGCAGAAACAGGAGTGGGCGCCAAAGCCGACTTTGCAGTCGCCTGCGCAAGTCGAGCTTTGTCCAAAGCTTCAACACTTCTAACCAAGCGGCGAATCAACGCTGAGGCGGGCAAAGAAGCTGGTAGTTGAAGTTTGTCCAAATCTGCTTCAGCGACACCGCTGGCTGCATTCGGATTTGGGAGCTTGGCAACATCAACCAGGAACTGCACTGCCTCCTTCAGCACATCGTCTGCCGGCTTGAACTGATCAGATCAGTCCAGGATGTCGCCATTGGCTCCAAAATGAAAGGAAAAAGAAAATTCCTGCAAGGGCGTTGAGCCGCAGGCTGCCCAGTCCTTCAAATCTCAAATTGTGCACACCAACAATTCCTTCAGCTTTGTTGGCACAAAACAAAAGCGCAGACCAAAATCAAGCAATACAGTGGAACCCGAGAGCGTCAAATCCTTGAGCTATGGCAGGAGTTCAATCTGTTTGAATACTGAAGACTTATCAAAAAGGCAGCAGCATGCTGCATCTAGGCAAGTTCACACTTGCCCTTGCCCACTGTCTTGAGACGGTGTAGTTCTGGCTGAACTATAATATTTCATAGGTCGTTGGGTCGTAATTCGCTATTTCAAAAGCAAAATAAGGATTAGGTCGTTGAAATACCAAAATATTGGCTGAGGTCGGGGTGCCCCTATTGTTAGGGACCCAGAAACGGCCTATCTGACGCAGATAGGCTGGTTTTGCTACCGCTTGTGCCCAAACCGCTAGGAAACCAGAAACGACCTATCTGACGCAGATAGGCGCTTTGGCTACAGCCATTGGTGCCCCTATTGTTAGGGACCCAGAAACGGCCTATCTGACGCAGATAGGCCCAAACCGCTGGGAACCAGAAACGACCTATCTGACGCAGATAGGCGCTTTGGCTACAACCATTGGTGCCCCTATTGTTAGGGAACCAGAAACGGCCTATCTGACGCAAATAGCATTGTTTTAAAGTCCGGACAAGGAATGAACCCAGGACCTTGCGAAATCGAAGCGAGAATCAGACTACTAGACTAAGCGGCCAACTGAATTGTAGAAACCCAGAAACGTCCTATCTGACGCAGATAGGCTGCTCGGCTGCGTGGCCACAGCCACTGGTACCTCCACGGCTAGGATCCTGGAAACGGCCTATCTGGCGCAGATAGGCTTGTTTTGCTACAAGCGCTTGTGGCACCATTGCCATGAACGCCAGGCTGTATGTCGCGCGCGCTTGGGTTCTTCAAGAGACGAAAACATGAAACTGATCAACAGGGAATTTGTCAAGATCCTTGTATTGAGGTGGGAACAGCTCAGCCCTTATTTCAGAAGTTTAGGTCGTAATTCCAAGTGACGTCGGGTGAGGTCGCTATAGTTCGATCAGTGTAATTGTCTGTTTAAACGCCCATGTGTTGTTCAAAATGTCTTTGGACCTTGGCGAACGGATGTGGCTGAAAATCTGGAACACTGCTTCTGAGGCTTGCAAATGAACTCTAAGGGTAAGTCCTAACCAAATGCAGTTTTTGCAACGCTGTGTCTGAACGAGCACTGAAATACATCAAGCGCGGCTGTTTGGGTCTGGGTAGATAGATAGGAACCAACTCAAACTGTTTGAGCGCAATCTAAACTGTTGTATTGCTGCTCGCACCTCTCCATGATAGATGCGACGGAACGGCGAAATAAGACCACACAAGAATCGAGCTGCTATGAACAATCCAGCCATTGTGAGCTAGTGACAGTCTCATAACTCTAGGCAATCACTGCACAACTCACCAAATATAAACATTCCAAGTTTACTAGTAAGTAAGAGTACTAAGCTGAAGTAGGTACCAAGGCGAGGCAGAAGGGCTCAGGCTCGAATTGGTTTGCCTTTAAGGAAAATGTTTAACAAAACGTTGTGTAAGGAATATGCATAAAGGGAAACTTAACTAATAGCGATGGCCTCCAACCTAGTAGCGATGGCCTCCTACCTAATAACGATGGCCTCCAACCCAACAGTGATGGCCTCTAACCTAATAGCGATGGCCTCCAACCTAGTAGCGATGGCCTCCTACCTAATAACGATGGCCTCCAACCCAATAGTGATGGCCTCTAACCTAATAGCGATGGCCTCCAACCTAGTAGCGATGGCCTACACCCTACTAGCGATGGCCTCCAACCTAGTAGCGATGGCCTCCACCCTATACTAGCGATGGCCTCCAACCTAGTAGCGATGGTCTCCAGCCTACTGACTAGCGATGGCCTCCACCCTACTAGCGATGGCCTCCAACCTAGTAGTGATAGTTACCAGTTACCACCCTACTAGCGATGGCCTCCAACCTAGTAGCGATGGCCTCCACCCTACTAGCGATGGCCTCCAACCTAGTAGTGATAGTTACCACATAGTTTTTACGCAATGACAATTCTGAAATTCTCTCTACCAAGCGAACAGAGTATGCGGGGCAAGGGCACTTGGAGAGATCCATGCTTGCCGCTGCCTGCCTTGCTTGCTTCATTGGAAATACATCCCCATCGCTTGAGTGAAGCTTGTAACCTTGCCGTCCATGACTGCAGCAACCCGAAACCACAGTTTCCAAATGATTTGCTCTGGATTCGGCACTGCGACGTGGGAAAACTCCAAACCCTTTGAAACACTTCTCTGTTCTCTCTGACATATGTTCATTCTCTTGCGCACGCTCTTGTTCTCTTGCGCTTTCCCTCTTCCCACTGATTTTCCTTCCTTTTGCTCAGCCTCTGGAAACGCTATGCTTTTTGGCGCGTTTCTTCAAGCCCGGGTACCTTGCCAGCAGGCTCAAAGAACACGACGCAAAACAGAACAACACTAAGGTTCAGGTGTCTTCGGGGAAATTCATCCCGCCCTCAAGAAAGGTAAATGTCCTTCAAGAAACCTGAACCCTTCTGCCTCCAAACGAAGCAGTTCCCTAGTTTGTAAGCCCCCATATTCTTGATGACCCACTTGGGAAGCAGAACACCGCCTGTGCAACACACTCACCCCCCAAACAGGTGTGCGGATGCGGTAGTGCGAAGTGACCTCAGGGATATCTCCTCGGTGTCTAAATGTCAGGACAGCATGTCATGACGACACCATGATGTCAGAATACGAGCAATACAACACCTCAGCGTGCGAGCACGACAGCGCGTTAGTAAACACAGCCCGTCAGCATGACAGCATGTCTGCAAGTTAGCCAGACAGAGATGCAAAATGGTTCACCGCCGAACACCATGCCAGCGTGACAATGCATACGTCTCCACTCCTGCTGAGAAGCTTGGACCGGAACCCCGGCGCGGGGTGTGACATCCATGGGTGTGATTCTGTATGGCTGAGGGATGTGTGTCTGTGACCCTTGAAATCACAGGGATCCTTTTGGAATGTTTGTTAGCAGGGGGGGCTGGAGCCGATTTGCCTATCCAGTCCAACGAAGCTATGGCATTTCGGTGGATGAGTGGTCTGAACAACCACTTGTACCTGCTCCGTGGTGACTTCTCATTTCCTTTTGGGCCCCGTTGTAACTAGAACAAGCTGACCAGCCATTGCATCTGTTCACCATCGGCAGTCGCGCACTTGATCTTGAACTGGAGTTGGCAGTTTGAACTTGGAGGTGAGCTACAGTCATGCACGAACGTAGTTAACCTGTCGCCTGCTCGTCGATGCTTTTGGTTTGTTCTGCCTGTACCCTTATAGTAAATGGTTACTTAGGCTGGCGTGTGGCACCGCATTCACATCAGTACGCATTTCTATAAGTGTGTCACACGCTGTCCCTAAGAGTTTGTTTCTTCCACCTTACAAGCAGGGGGCCAGCGGCCGACAAGCAAAAGCTGGCTAACAAAGCTACGCTTGCTCGGTGGATACACAGTCTGATCAACCGTGTGTACCTGCGGCCAAGCTGTGACTCCACTTTCCTCGGTTTGATTCATGGCTCTTTCATGATACTTCCCCCAAACCTTTTTCCTTCAGCCGCTTCAGCTGCCGGGCGTTCTTCAGACACGTGAACACTTTGTTAAACTATCCAAGTGAGCTGACTTCACCACATTGCGGTTCCATCGTTCGTTTCACTGAGGAACAGAGTACAGAGTTAACTGCAAACCCATTGTCTAAGTGTGCGCCACTCTGCCGTCCGACTGGCCGCAGAGCGTGATCCCCGTCACTGGCCATTCCGGATTGCCGTGTAACTGAATTTACGTTTTCTGCGCACGTCTCACACATGAATTTCCAGATTCACATGCTGCCGAGCCACGGAGACTCCACAACGCCGGGTTTCACGGAGATTCGACCACCGCCGGGTTTACGGTCATACATATTTGTGTCACACACACACACCCACACACACACACCCACCTTGCACCCGAATTCGCACTCTTATCCCACCCGCTCTGGGGTAACAGAAGGAAATGGTACTCGACGCACTTGTGTGTCGGTGCCTTTCCTTTTGTTTCTCTTGTCCCTAGTTCTAGCTACCCGAGCGGTTTAAGACTAATGTCCCGCTCGCTAACTACTGCATTTAATTCGTGCGGCTAAGTATTCAATAACTAGCAGGTTTCGTAACTAGTGGGCCTCGTAACTACACCTATTTTTTCTCTCTTGCCCTTGCGTTTCCCTTTCTGTCTTTTCTTCTATGTCTTTCTTTCTAAGGCTAAGTGGTTAGTAATTTCCTCCGGAGCGCCGATATCGGCGCTCTGTGTGCGTCACACTCTGTCCCTAAGAGTTTGTTTCTTCCACACCTTACAAGCAGGGAGCCAGCAGCCGACAAGCAAACGCTGGCTAACAAAGCTACGCTTGCTCGGTGGATACACAGTCTGATCAACTGTGTGTACCTGCGACAATCTTTAATAATACAAAAACCTTGAAATACACTTATTTTGCACGGGTCTACGTCCTGACTGGCCATGATTCCACAAACGATATACTCAGATGAAAACCACAACGCAAGTAACACCCACCAAGGTAATTCAGAAAGCATTTTCGCGAATTTGCTGTCTTCTTGTATGTTGCGAAATAAAACCAAGGCAGCCGGGCCGCAAAATCAGCAGGCGCCCTCGTAACGCGTCAGCAAATTTTACAAAATTTGGTTTCGCAACCCATTGCAGCAAATTTTGGTTTTGTATTTTCCGGGGGACGTACTTGTTTTGTATTTTTTGGCGGTTGTAATTTTTCACACTTTTTAACTTTTTGTAATTGTTTTTCTGTATTGTCTTGTTTGGTTGTACTTTGTTTGTCTGTATTTTCGCAGGTCGATTTTTCGATCTTTTTTCGGCAGCTGTACTTTTGTATTTTGTTTGTTATTGAAAATACGAAAAAAGGTCGCATATTTTCGTTAAACAACTACAAATGTTCAGCATCGAACTGCGAACCGGCAAAACCCGCCGGCGTTTTTATTTGACAAGTGGTCAGGCTACCCGACAACCACAAGAGGCTGCTCCATAAGACAAGGAAGCCGGCTTCCCATCCCACCCATATCAATGCGTATCAAGGGACACTTTTTGAATATTGCTTGCAGCTTCGCATTCTGACGGGTTGTATATGAAAAATACAAAGATCGAAAATGTACTGTGGAAAATGCAACTGGTGAATTTGTATTTTCCAATCGTATTTCTTTTTTATACTTGCAATTGTTTTACCCCCCTCAGGCTGCACCTGGAACCGGAAAACCGCCGGTATAGCGCCCACTCCGATCTGGTGTCCTTGACAGCAGCCAGCAGCGGGCTCAGGAGGGCCCGGCCGGGCTGGCAGGCGGCGCAAACCACCTCCAGCCCGTCCCCCTCTGGCCGCCACACCCTACCGGGTGGAGCAGGTCCTCCTCGTACATGACGAGGATCTGGGAATCGTCATGCATGAGACTGCCAAGCCCGAGCGTTGGAGTACCTGGAGAGCTTTGGGAAGCAGGGGGCCTTTGAACTTTGAAACTCACCTAGAGGATGTTGAGCCCGTGACAGACCTGACCTTGACGGCTGCCACCGAAAACCTGTGAGGAGGCACTGGCCGGGCTCGCAGGTCGCACACGCCACCAGCCCGTTTTCCTCTGGCCGCCACACCGTACTGGGTGGAGCAGGCCCTCCACGCACATGATGAGGATCTGGGGGCCGCTCGGCCCGGTTGCACTACTGAGTTCTGAGAGTGCACGGACCGATATTCCGGTCTCTGACCATGCAAGCTCTTTAGTCCAGAGCGACGGAGCCCAGATCGGTGTGGAAGGCTTTACATATTCCTCTTACGCATGGCAACCTGTCATGACTGGCAAGATTGATTTTCTAGAGTTGTTCGCAGGTTCAGCACGATTAAGTCAAGTAGCTGCCATGAACGGTTTGCGTGTTGGACAACCTATTGACCTCCGAACAGGTTTTGATATCTTGACCAGTGATGGTCGTAAGAGGACGATGGAGATCATCGAGAAACAGAAGTCTAAAGTCATCTTTGTCCCTCCCAGAACACTCCTCGCGCACGTTGAAACTCACCCAGAGGACGTTGAGCCCGTGACACGCGGCGCGCACCGCCTCCGTCACCACCACTGCGCCACCCTGGTAGGGTGGAGCAGGTCCTCCTCGTACATGACGAGGCTCTGGGAGTCACATGTCCCTCCCAGAACACTCCTCGCGCACGAGACTGCCAAGCCTGAGTGTTGGAGTACCTGGAGAGGATTGGGAAGCAGGAGACCTTTGGATGTTGAGCGCGCAGCTTGCAAAGGGCTGATGGCAGGGCTCGGGCTCGCAGGGGGGCACCACTGCAGCCCGTCCCCCTCTGGCCGCCACACCCTATGGAGCAGGAGGATCTGGGAGTCGCGTGTCCCTCCCAGAACACTCCTCACGCACGAGACTGCCAAGCCAGAGTGTGGCTTGAAAGCAGTGACTGCCAGGCCTAATTAGCGCTTCAATCGTGAATGGGTGTTTCACCACGACGACGACGACGACCACGACCACGACCACGACGACGACGACGACGGCGACGGCGACGGCGACCCCGTGCACCACCACCACCACGACCAGGACCAAGACCACAACCGCAACCACGAACACGACCACCACGACCACGACCACGACGACCATCACCACCACCACCACCACCACCACCACGGCGCACCGCCGTCAGAAGGGGTGAGGGCTGAATTTTCCAAAGTGGCAGTAGCGCTATACTGGACCTGTCAAAAACACCAAGGAAGGTTTGCAGGGGCTGCATGATACTCCTGCGTCCGGTAACGCACAATGGTGATATATAGATATGTAAATATATTCTTTTTATGGGCAACTGGTCTCTTTAAACAGCGTGTTCTGTTGTTTTCTCCACATGGAATGCTTCCACGGAACATGAACTGGACCATGTGTTTTCCACATATGTCATTCATTGGACACAGTGGCTGGCCGAGAGAGATTGAATATTGGTGAGTTGGGCCACGCAATCAGCTGTCCGGCCCAACTATCAGTTCTCAAAGTGCGTTGCTGTGGGCATGGCGCGCCTCGCAAAACCTTAATCTTGGCAACCAACTGATACCTGCTGAGCTTTAGGTGACCCCGTTTCACTCTTGATTACCCTGATTTTCCCAAAGAACCTGGGCCAATGGCAGAACAAACTGATGGATGGTGCAAAACCATCACACTGGCGAGCTAGGGCGCTGGAATGAGCTCCATAGAAGTGTTCACCTCATCTTTTTTGCAACGTATGACATAGCACTTGAGGCCCGAGAGTGTGCACTGTGATCTGGCGCTTTGCGGTTGAAGTCCGGTAGTGTTGATTCCCCGGAATTCAGGTGAGCTAAGAAACCCCAAAAAAAAGAAAAATGAAAATATAATAACACGGATACACATTTTTTGCATGGTTCTAAGTCCTAACTGGCCATGGTTCCCCAAACAACATACTCAGATGAGGGCCACAATGCCAGTAGCACCCATGAATTTTGAGTCACGTTGTTCTTTCTAGCGCTTTCAACAAGAATTTTTGCGAAGTTGCTATCTTTTTGTATTGTTGCAAAATAAAACCAATGCAGTCGGGCCGCAAAATCAGCAAGCACCCTCGTCAACGCGTCAGCAAATTTTACAAATTTTGGTTTCGCAACCCATTGCGGCAAATTTTGCATTTTTTGTATTTTCCGCGGCGCGTAATTGTTTGGAGTTTTTTCGTGGGGCGTAATTTTTTGTATTTTTGGGCGGTTGTATGTTTCATTTTTTGTGTTTTTGGTAATTTTTGTATGCTTTGTCTTTTTGTCTTTTTTGTACTTTGTTTGTGTTTTTTTCACGGGTCGATCGTTTTGCTTTTTTTGGCGGCTGCGCTTTTGTATTTTTGTTTGTCGCATTATTGAAAATACGAAAGAAGGTCGCATATTTTCGTTAAAAAGCTACAAATGTTCAGCATCGAACTGCGAACCGGCAAAACCCGCCGGCGTTTTTATTTGACAAGTGGTCAGGCTACCCGACAACCACAAGAGGCTGCTCCATAAGACAAGGAAGCCGGCTTCCCATCCCACCCATATCAATGCGTATCAAGGGACACTTTTTGAATATTGCTTGCAGCTTCGCATTCTGACGGGTTGTGTTTTTGAAAAATACAAAGATCGAAAATGTACTGTGGAAAATGCAACTGGTGAATTTGTATTTTCCAGTCGTATTTCTTTTTTATACTTGCAATTGTTTTACCCCCTCAGGCTGCACCTGGAACCGGAAAACCAACAGTATAGCGCCCACTCCGATCTGGTGTCCTTGACGGCAGCCAGCAGCGGGCTCAGGAGGGCCCGGCCGGGCTGGCAGGCGGCGCAAACCACCTCCAGCCCGTCCCCCTCTGGCCGCCACACCCTACCGGGTGGAGCAGGTCCTCCTCGTACATGACGAGGATCTGGGAATCGTCATGCATGAGACTGCCAAGCCCGAGCGTTGGAGTACCTGGAGAGCTTTGGGAAGCAGGGGGCCTTTGAACTTTGAAACTCACCTAGAGGATGTTGAGCCCGTGACAGACCTGTCCTTACGGCTGCCAGCAAAGGGCTGAGGAGGACCTGGCCGGCTGGCAGGCAGGGCACACCAGCCCATCCCGTCTGGCTGCCACTGGTGGAGCAGGTCCTCCTTGTACATGACGAGGATCTGGGAGTCGCGTGTCCCTCAAAGAACACTCCTCACGCACGAGGCTGCCAAGCCTGAGTGTGGGTTGAAGCCAGTGGCCACCTAAATGAATGTTTCAATCCCGAATGGATGTTTCACATGCACAGCCAGCAGTATACTTAGTTGAAATAGAAGCCAGAATCACGCAAGAAATGCACCTACAAGTTGTATGCCCCACATTCAAGTAAGGCTGCAGTGTGAAGGTACGCCCACATTTCATCAGCCATGGCTGCGTCGCATAAATGTTAATAATGCGTCGCATTGAGGCATGATGCTGCACATTGTAGTATGATACATCCGTCAGCAATGTGATATTGCAAGCAGTATTTTTATTACACAGCATGTCCTGTCGCGTAGGTCAGTCTGCCATGTTTCAAACTCTATATGTCACGCGCCACGCCTGTCGGGTCATAATAATGAGCGATAGCTTTATGGGGGTGGTGATGGGGTGGTTCACGAAGCAGGTTTAGAGTTGAGAGTTGAGGGTCTAAGTGCAGAGTTTTAGGTCTAGAGGAGAGAGATGTTTGGAGATCCAGGCTGGAGGTCTAGAGACCACACAGATAAAAGGATACGTAAACGCACTTCAAAAAAACAAGATCCCCTTCGCTCGGGAGGCTCGATACTTCCGCCGGCTTGTAAAAACGAGCCACATGTCCAAAGGTCACAATTCACAGCACCTGCCACGAAATCAGACCGTGCCGAAGACCGCCACCATGTCCAAAGCACTGCGCCAGCCACGAAATTTGCACATCCCCTCCGATCTCCTGTGCCTGCCACGAAAAGTCGACTTCGGACCACCAGAACGAGGTTTACCTGCCACGAAAAGTGACTACCAAGTCCGAAAACGCGCACGTTTCCAGTCGAGAAGAGCACCGTGCCAGCCACCCTGCGGTTTTCTAGGCTAACCTGCTGCTCTGTCCATTGGCTAGGTGCGTCCTGCCATCCACTCTATCCGCCACGCGCGTCCCAAACTACGTTCTAGAATTGGAGCTTCTCAAACCCGAAAGCTCTTTTGACAGCTCTTTGCTTCGACATGTTTTCTGCTTCTCTTGGACCCTCGGTCTTGTGTACACTCTTATTAACTTCTGTCTGATCTATATTCTTGTGGCGTTATTGGAGATTGCATCGACTCCCCTAATGCAATGCTCATTGCTTTGCAATTTTTCCTGCGCACCAAGCAAGCAGGTTGGCCCGGTCAAAGCGTTGCCACAATTGCTGCACGGACTGGCGACGGTCGCATGGTGCCGAGGGTTGTTGCGGTTCCATGTTGGGAGAAAAAGGAATGAAACGGGTGACTTCTACATGCACTTCGTTGCATTTCATCACATGTAGTCACTTCTTTACGAAGAGTTTTTGCAAACAAAGAAGCTGTGAAGTGAACAAACCAACCCTGAAAAGACGTTGGAAGAACTGCAAAGGACCTCATCAGCCTTAGGAATGTGTTTTGGTCGAAGCTTGAAGCCGTTTTCCAAACTAGGCCAGCATAGACCCCCAACAGTGTCAGCGTTATGTTTAAGAGTCAACTCCTTGAATTTAAATGTTGGTGGGAACGTCTGCAATTATATACCCTGGCCTCCAGCTGTTTGGGAACGGCGCGTAAACACAAAATGTGTGAGAACAACATATCCTGATGCCTGGGAGACATGTGACGACGAAGGGATATAATAAGCCAAAATTGATATCAGATTTGAAACACTGCATCACTGTTGCATTCATGGCCGCACGAAAAACATACCTTGACAAGACGGTGGAAAAAGAAAAAGCACCGTGGTAAGACCCAAACAAGGCTAGTAGTAACAAGAAGCTATTAGAAACAAGTGCATCGCTACTAGTAACAAGTGCCTTACTAGTAGTAACAAGAAGCTA